ACCTAATAGCTCTGCATGTACGCAGTTTTTTTTTTTTTTTTTTTTTGGGTTTTTAATTAATTGTGCAATTATATTGCGTCACAAAAACAACAACAACAAAAAGAAAAGTGTGCGGAACACAAAAGAAATAATATTTATAAAAAAGAAAGAAAGAAAGAAAGAGAAAAAAAAAAAAAAAAGTAAAAACATTTTTCCCCTCTCTTCCCTTGTCTCTCTCTCTCTCTCTCAAGTTCACACACACACACACCTTGTTACAATGCAGCTGTAAGTTTGTCAAGGCCGAGCATACGCGTGGGAAGAGCCCAAAAGAAGTATGCCACAAGTGCACCGCCTGTCGACGCTCCGTGCTCTTCCGGCCTCGTTGTAAAAATTCGCCAGACGTCTATAACCATGACAAATGCCGTGAGTACCAAAAAAGGAATGGGTGGTTGCTGAATAAAATTAAGATGTCGAAATATGAGGCCTTCGACGCCGATAAGCCCAAGAATAAAAGGATTCGGGCCGTAACACCTTCCACGCACCTCCAATGGATCCATGCCATAATATAACTCAAACTTCTGACGCGCCAAATGAATGAAACTTCCGCCCAGTGTGCAGAGCACCGCAAAAAAGGTCATGCGTGTGTTCCCGAGAAAGCCCAACATTGTATTCCCAAACTGCCAAAGAAGCCAGCAGTCGATAAGGAGTTGCAGCAAATTCTCCTGATAAAAGGCGTTGGTAAGGAGGGGATAAATCTTCCCGGCATTTTCGTGGGAAAGTGTAAAATGGTCCACAATGAAGTCCCGCAAGGAATCGCTCCCCGAGAAGTTCATCAAAAAATATGTAATGACGTTGGCAAGGAAAAGTAGCATGACCACATTAAATGTGTGGAATGGAGGTGGAAAGGGAAGATAGCCCTGACCTGGACCGGCCGAAAAGGGATCTTCCTCCTCTTTCCCCCCTTCCCCCTCTTCCCCCTTCCCCTCGTATGTCTTGACCTCACGGAAGCCGGCAAGGTAATCGCCCGTGTTTTTTTGTTCTTGTATTGTTCGAGTGCTAGAGAACGCACGGCCGGGGCAACGGCAGGCACTCACACACATGCCCTGCTTCTGGGCGTTGTAAAGCGCAAAGAAAGTGCTCTTCGCCGGCCCAACCAGTGAAACACCGCGTCTCTGAAGCAGTCGGGACGCCATTCTAGAAGATAAACCGTTGGCATTGCAGGTAAATGGAAAAGTCCTCCAACATCGCAACATGGTCGTTGTTTTCTCCTAATGAGTCGTCAAGGCACTATTACTCATCCAATTAGGCATGTTTCATAAAATAAAAGCCATAAATACACATGAAAAAGAAAAAGAAATGGAGAAAAGATTTGCATTCATGAATTAAGTAAATACATCACCTTGGCAAACCTCAAGAATGATCTTCACCCCACCACCCTACACCTTACACCCTCCTTTTGAGATGTTTCAACTTCTTTTTTTTTTTCTTTTTTTCCATCACGTTCTTCCTCGTGTGAATATATGCATTTGTGTGTGCGTATTCCTGTTCTCAGCTGCTGTGAGACGCCTCCTCTTTCAGTGTCTGCCCCATAGGAGGTGAAGACTGTTGCTCCTCGTTGCGCTGCGCCGCCTCCAGTGCCTTACGTCGTTCCTCAAGGATGCGCAGTTCAAGAGCGTCACGGTGCAGCACATCGCGAAGCCGCATCCGACGCAGTTTCATGAAGTTCATTTTGCTGCGAAGTACCGGATTCGCCACCGCACGCACGCGACCAAAAGACACCGGGATTTGTGAAGCAAGATCGTCAAAACTGATGTGCTCCGGCACGCCAATAAGAGCCTTTGCCTCGTCAAGATCAAGCATATCAATCCTCACCACATGTCGTACCCGCCAGAGCTGTTTTCTCACCTGCGGAATGTCAGGCACAATTGTCGTCTGTCCTTTGAACTCCAGACGCAGTTCCCGCAGCATCCGGTTTATCTCCCACGAGTGTTTGAAGGGGTGATCATCACAGTGCACAATAAATATGTTGCCAACAACACGATACGGCCCGGGTGCGATAGATGTCGCGGCCACTGCGCTACCCCCAACGCTGCTAGTGCTAGTGCTAGTACTGCTTGACTTTGCCTGGCCACCACCACTACTACCACCACTCACGTCACCGCTCGCGCTGGTAGACAATGATTTGGAAAGCAGGGCTGTTTTGCCGTGACACATGCAGCGCCACTGTGGCAACCGCATAGAAATCCACGCACGCCGCATTCTTTCCACCTACTGCGCGATGGCATGCCCCATGTAACCAACAATAAAGAAAAAAAACAAAAGAAAGGTATTATGTATGCATATATATTTAGAATAGTGGCCCTCTTAAACAGTCAACAAGTGCGGCAGCCTCTTCAAGTGACGCCAATAAGTACGCCAAAGGAGGAGGAGGAGGAGCAAAAAAAAAAAAAAAAGGCGGGGGCCCCATAAGACAATCTCAACACTTTACATTTAAAAATAATAAATAAATAAATAAATAATAAAAAGAAGAAGCCCCACACATAAATACGTACAACTCCATCATTCCCCCTTTCTTTCTTGACCCCTCCTCACTTATGAAGTAAATAAAAATAAAAATAAAACAATGCGTAGATGATGGCCAACAGCAATAATAATAATAATAATAATGAAACATTGAACAACAAAAAAAAAAAAAAGATATAAAAACATAAAAATAATAATTCATAAGTACAGACATGCAAGCCCAAATAAAAGAGAATAATCTTCCGGGCAGCTGGCCGGATCCTGAAAGTATCTATGGAAACCAAACAAGTTAGGGAAAAAGGTTCTTTAGTTAATTGCTTCAATGTTTTATTCTCATTCAATATATAGAATTCTGTGGACCACCAGCATGGTCCTTTGTCCTCAGTTAGGATTTGGAATATTATTACTTACGAAGTGGCAGAATTTGGGGTCCTCCAACCACAAGACCCCGCCGCGTGGTGGGAATCAAAAGGGGGTTAGGGTGGGATGGCAAAATAAAATTAAAAATTTATCTGGCCTCTATCGGTTCCCGCCCCTACAAAGTCGCGTTCTTCCCAAAAGATTCATACGGTAGAAAGTATCATAAAGAATGCATTCATTTATCAGGATGTACACATACATTAATTAGGGCAGCCAGCTCTCCCGCGATCATTCTTTTCACAAGCTCCTACAAAAACAAGAAAAAAAAGAAAAAAAGATATATGCTCCTTGTGGTTCCCGCATCCTCTGCAACATTCTCCCCCTCAACTCATTATAATAATCCACCTCCCCTCCCCTCCTTTAATATATTTATTTATTTATTTTTATGTATGCATTTAAAGTAAGATCAGATAAAGAAAAACAAGATATAAACCCACAACGTCTTAAGGATGCATCAAAGATACATACATACATGTATGCATATATATATCTATATATCTATATATTTGCATACATGCGTACGGAGAGAGAGAGAGAGAGAGAGAGAGAGGCTTTTAAAAGGTATTCATAAGTCTCCGCATAAATATACAACACATGCATACTGTGAATTGTGATTCCTATTGAATGAATCCCTGAGAAGAAAAACAAACAAATACGCAATCACACAAATTAAAAATATTCTATGTACCACTTTTCCCAAATATACAAAGGTATACATATATATATATATATATAATTTCAGTATCCAATAGAAAATTAACATCGACTCCTTATTGTTACATCATTTATGCATTGTTGAATACATGTATCATATAAAGAAAAGTAAATAGGCCTCTTCCACACCCGCCTCCCCACATGGGACGGGAGGGTTTACCGTCAGGTGCTTCTTCAAGTTTCACCCTTTTGGGATGATCCTTACCGTGATACAATAAGAACAATGGATATTATCGTGCGTGTTTACCGGAGACAATTAAGGGCCAAACCATTCCTCATGCAGAATTTCAAAAATAGAAAAAAGAAAAAACACATAAGTACTGAAAAGGTACTGAAAAGGTGCAAGAGCGACGTACAGGCATATACACACACACACACACAAAAAAAAAAAAAAAAGGGAATAATAACAGCAATTAAAACATACACATAAAATAATAATAGTAATAATAATAATAATAATTTACCTTTTTTTTTTTTTTGCCCTACTTACGCCGGCCACCTTCTGCTATCGTTACTTGTACTCAAGCTTCTGTGTTCTTGTTGCCCAAGTTGGAGGTTGAGTTTTCGATTACTCACCTTCAAAGCAGGAATTGTCAAAGTGGGTGATGCTGGAAACATGTTATACGGGACATCCTCCTCACATTCTTCCTCCCATTCATTCATGCCAGTGGCAACGCCTTGTTCACCTGAATTTTCCGATTTCTTCACTACAACGACATCCAACGCACTACCCATCTCACCATCCATTGAAATAGCCTGCGTCACTGTGCTGCAAGCATCACTGCTGCGCATGGATGTCAAACGCTCTGAACTCCTCACGCCGTCATCCAAAGAGTCAGACAAGGACAAACTCCGAAAAGGTCGAGCGTGACCACCAGCCATACTTGTGTTCGGTTTCGTAGGCGCAACGTCTTTCTTTCCCCGCGCCTCATCAATCCCCCTCACACTACTTGGGCACGACTTCCCCCCATTGAAGCCTGACCAGTTGCCTTGGCGGCACTTCAAATCATCCACCTGAGCCCCAATCACCAGACGCTGTTGGTGTCGCTGAAGAAGAAAACGAGGTTCACCCGCACCTCCTGACTCCCCTGGTGAAACCAACACGGGGGCCGGTGCGGGGTATGCTTCGGGAAAAGAAAAAGACTCTCGAGTTACAGGACGACGACAAACCCACTTGTACGACCCCAGAATACTCATTGGCGATATACCGCTGATGGTCCGTAAAGAATTAGACTTTGACAGATTTCGTGATAACTTTCCATTTTCTTTGCCCGAGGTCAACGGTAGCCTTCCTTCTTGAGAAAAACCCCTGCGTGATTGCGGAAAAGAAGGCACGTGGCTGGGTACACTGTTTCTGTTATTGTCATCCGTGGAAGGAAATTCAGGTGGAACAGCATCAATAGTTGGCTCCGCTTCCTCATCGCTGTCAATATATTCCTCGTCAACTGGCAAGTACTTCACTCTCCGCACAGTTTTTGTTGCTGTTGTTGTGGAAATGCGTATAGCGTTGGGAGGCATAAACGGCGCTTCACCATTCGCCTCATCGTACGACGATAAAGCTTGAGCAGATGGCGTGTATGTAAAACCGCGGGACACCGTGGCAGAACTTACTATTCGGCCTTTTCTGGACGAAGTGCCTAGCGTCCCATCATTCTTCCTCTCGCCGGCCCGATTGAAGGGCATCAACGCCGCACTTTGAATACTGTTGCCTTTGTCCGTGTTACACATTTCCTCAGCGTCTTTTCCGTTAATATGTTTGGATGATGCCAATTTCTCCTTGTTGGCATTGTCCTGACTGTTCCTATTGGCGGAAGAGGGTCCGTTGCTAAATTCTGTCGCACCGTTTGACGTATGCGGGTACGTTTGACTCACCCTCGATTCATTGATCCCTGAACTGTGTGGCATCCGCACCTCTTGACGTGTTTGGCTGTTCTTCAATGCTCTCTGCGGGAGCACGTCCGCATCATTAGTGCAGTTTCTTTGCCTCATGGACGACGCAAAGCCCACTCCTCCCTCGTTTTCAGAACTTTTTTTCACACTTGCGTCACGGATATTGTCATCAGGGAGATGTGGAAACATGGAAGGGGCAACAAATTTACGCACGGACGTGCTGGGGACACTCTGCCGGTAGACTAGCAATGGCAGCTCGCGGTCCCGATGGGGGCTTCTCACCCGCGGGAGATAAACGGCTTTGTCCGGTGCGGCAGCCTCAGCACCCTTTTCAAATAATCCGTTAATCACGGTTCTCGTGTACACTGTTGGTGCGTACGGAGTTTTCATTCTGTCCCCCCTTTCCCCAGCTGCGGGAACCACCCCCGTGGGAGCGGAGATTTCCCTGCGGATTGCAGTGGACGAATTATTGCCCTCCCGGACTGAATAGGCTCTGCACGGTTTATACTGCACATTTCCCCATTTTGGCAACGAATCGTGGGGCGACAATGCGGTCAATTCTCTCTCTTCTTTGCCGTTAATATCATCATTCCCAATTTCCTGCTCTCGCTGAGGAGATTGACGCCTGTTGCTCATGCCTCAATTCAATCCCTCCGTTAAAATAGTGAACGTCTTTGTGACAGACTCAAAAAGAAAAAAAAAAAAAAAGACCGGCGCTCTAATAAGCTACCCGTCCACCCACACACAGACAGAGAGAGAGAGACAGACAGACAAAAAAGAAAAATAAAAATAATAATTGTTTTTGAATGCTTTGATGTCTACGCAACACAAACTTCCGCCTATTATTCTCAAAAGACTATTGGCTTTAAATGTAAGAGGCAAAAATTTCAATTTCCGCTCTTCTCTTGTGTAATAAATCAACAGGTATCCATGAGAGTAAGTTGCATAGAAAAGGCCACAACATGCATGCACAGACAGAGACGCATAAAAAGAGGAAAATGAAGCTACAGCAATCAAAAGAAAGGAAAACAATAAAAATAATAATAATTCACGGCAATGATGCAAAACAACAACAACAACAACAACAACAACAGAAAAAAAAAAAACCACAAAAGATGTACATTTTTTTCTTTTTTTTTTTTTTTTTTTTTTTTTTTTTGAAGGTGCGTGCGTCCTTGTGTCCCTCCCCAACGCGTCACTGTGTGGATATGCCCCGTTCAACCCACGAAGGCCGCGCGGAAGAACACGCAGAGAGAAAGGAGGAGGGGTCAGTGCAGAAAAATCAATAAAACAATAAAAAAAAAAGAAGGAAAAACCACACACACACGCACACACGCCCCCAAAAAAAAAAAAAAAAAAAAAATCAATGAAACAAAGACAGAGGAAAAATATACACTTGGAAAAAAGAAGAAAAGAAAAAAAAAAAAAAGAAACCATGCGCCAAAAGGGTAAGTTGAGGAAGGTCGATGAGAAAATACAGAAACAGAGACAAATAATAAAACAACAAAAACAGCAACAGGAAAAAATATATAAATATAAATTTATATAAAAATACATTAATAATAATAATAATCAACCAAAAGAAAAAAAAAAAAAAAAAAAAAAATTTTCCGTTGCCTTCTTCCTTTCGCTCGCAGTTATTTGAGTGGAGGAGTGGAGGAGGCCTCCGCATCCATCGATTGGGAAAAGGCACGGCGGCGGCGGCGGTGGTGGTGGTGGTGGTGGTGGTGGTGGATGTCAACAGAAGTGACGCGGCGCGGTTTATTTCATTTCCCCCTCTCCACTCAGTCGCACGCCCACCAGTCCAGCGGTTGGCTGCAAAACAAAAACAACAACAAAAGAAAAAAAAAGAGAATTTCCCTTTAAAGCAGCCATAAATAACTTTTTTTTTCGTTTTTTTGGTTTCCACCCGTAAAGAACTCCGGTCCGTTCGTGCGGGGCGCCTATTGGGAGGTGGATGCACAGACGAAGTCATTGGAACCCAACGGAAATGATTAATTGAAGTGCGTGACGCCGGGCCCAAAACACCACCTCTCCTCTTTTTTTTCTCTCCCCCTCCCAAAAAAAGAAAAAAAAAAAAAAAAACCACAACATTCATCTCCTCACATGCTCAATCTGCATCTCTTGGGCACGGACATTCCTCAGGCAAGTGACGTGGCATTCAGACTTCAAACACATACACACGCACACAAAACAAACTAAATCACAACCGCTAGGAACAAAAAAAGAACAAAGGGAGTAACGGTCGCATTAGTCACAGGCTGGAAAAAAGGGGAGAGAAAAAAAAAAAAAAAAAAGAAAATCAAAAACACGACCCACCCTTGCAGTAGCCTGAGAAGAAAAACCCACCAACAATGATGAAGCAGTTCTATCGCCTTTTTGTTTGTTTCTTTCCTTCCATCATATGTAACCCATTCTACTTTTTATGCACACACACACACACACACGCATATATACATCTATATGCAAATTTAGAGAACGATTTGCATTCTTCAATCGCCCCATCCCCTTCCTCCGCAGGTTGAGCAATAAGAACTTCAAAAAAGACCTAGTTTGGGAAAACCGCGAAATGACACAACTCCCCAAAATGGTCCCTCATGTTGTGCAGATGGTGACTGCCTTCCCACGCGGAGATAGCACGACCCACCGATGCGTCCAACGTCATGGCAGGCTTGGCAAAATGCATCACACCATCCTCCAACTTGCTGTCGTCTTCACCCGTAGTTGTGCCATAACGATTGGTCACGTGATCGTTTTTTTTGTTTTGTTTTTCATACCTTGAAAACTCTGGCAGCAATGAAAGCATTGGCATCCTCATCCTCTCCTACCTGTTCAGCTAAGCTACGGTGGCTCCTTCCGGATAAAAACAAAAAAACAAAAACCCCTATACGTCAGAATTTTCCCCTCGGTGATTCATATTCACAATCCCTACCGGATGGCTAGTTGTGAAAATTCTCCCTTTATTCCCGTTCGGTGTTGTATGCTTCTTCCTCATCAATCGAGTCTTCCTCATCGCTGTCAACCTCTTGTTCCGTTGTGGTGCGGGTTATCGTCGTCGTGCGAATTGTCAAGACCCCACCGTAGGCAGTCTGCTGTACGTGTGTATCTGTTTGCGTGTCCTGCGTTGTGCCGACGACCCGCCCATTTGGAACAAACGTATTGCCTACAGACTCCTGAATCTCCTTTTGTACCGGCGGATACTCCGCAGCGAAGGATGTTTCCTCAATAGAAGCAGAACGCCTTGTGACCTCGTTCATCGCTCGCGTTTTGCGGCGAAATGAAGATGGTACTCGTTCTAAATTAGTAGACGGCAACAAATCACGGCCCACCCCTCCAATAACGTCCAATGGCTGGTGCGCGTCGTTTGTATTGCGTGTGCCGTCTGCCGCTCCATTCTCAACGACCACGTCACCCGAGCCAAATATTTCATTAAAATCGCCTGTGCCATACAACACTGTGCCTTCTGGCAGATCATTCACAAAGTCCTTCAAAAAATCCGTATCATTCGTCTGACTGTGGTACACTGCCGGAATCCACACATGCCGTGTGACTGGTCGTCCAAGAGCTTCTTCTAGTACACACATCGCCTTGTACATCTTCCAGGTCGCCTGAATCTTTGTCGCCATATAGTCCATTGTCTTTTCCTCCATACATTCCATGAGGTAGTCCCCACGGCGCCGCAATTGTATAATCCACGGATGGTCGTAGTCATACACAACAGACAAAATACCGAGGCAACGGCGCACCAAAAGAAGGGATCTATTGTAAAGATGCAGGTCTTCATATATCTGTGCCAGTTCAATTAACGCAGGAATAAGCAGCTCTGACTGTCTCCGGTGTCCTATCTCTACTACCTC